ATCTGTTTTCGGTGTTTACCCAACAAGTAAATTAACAATCTCAGATCCCGCTTTAATATGGTCAGTTACCATGTAGTAAAAAACACAACCGGGGCTCTCAGCCAGCAGGAACATTTGGCTGCAATCTCAAGTATTTCTCCTTTAGCTCCCGTTCCCATTCAAACTAATTATATACACCAGTCCGGGCTGAAAAGCTCACGCTGCATTCTGGCATGCCACAAATACTGGGTGTGTTTGTGTACTCGCATTCCACTTTACAAACGTACCACTTTCCCCTCAAATTAATCAAGCATCCTTGTAAATGTAGATGTTTAGCCACATTAGCAGCAACTGTATTGTGTGGCCTCTGGCAAGCAGAGCGAAAATATTCATGAAGTATCATCGGCGTTCCCATTCTTCCTGCTCCTCGCTGACACCGTATCAGCCGCGTGTATCGGGCTCCTTATAGATAAGGGGAGGGCCACTCTGTCTCCAGAGGCATGCCTTATCTCACCTTGGGGCTAAGCATTCCCTGGAGACATCGCAGTGACAGATATATAGCCCAATCAGGACACCCCCCACTGCTCTAATAACACTGCCCCCACATCTTGTGGTAATCAAATACCTGCTATCAATGGACCGTGGAAATGGTTTATGTGTGTGGCGGTCTGTATGTGTGTGTGTGCTTGTGATCAATAGCCAGTCTCTGGTGGGAGTGGAGGAGGAGTTGGATATCAGACTTGGGTTCAGAGGTCAGCGCTTCCTGCAGCGTCACTACTATATGGTGTGTTTTCTTTTAACATGAAGCATCTGCTGGTGTCTCTCTGTGATTGTTGTAATTTGTAACACATCTCACAACAGCACCTTGTCATTATTATATTTTTTTTTGCCATGTGTTACATGTACTGCAGCAGCTCTGTGTGCTCATCGAGAAATAAGTGAAGCATTTTATTGTAAATAGCCAGAAGTGATACGCGTTTGTGTGTCTAGTTTCCCCGAGCACTCGCTCACACACACACTGAGGCATGTTACGTTTCACTCGTATGTTTTGATTTATCACTCGCGGTGTGAAGAGGTAATCATACACTAGAGCTGAATTTCATTTCGTCAAAGCTCGTGGGATGTTCTACTCCGTTGCAAGCACCACTCTCGCTGTCCTTCACTTGGACAGTTCTGATGATAAGACAAGTGTGTTCTGCAGCTGTATTATAAAAGCTGGGCAGGCAGGGATAAATGTGCCGCAGCCTATATCACATACAAGTAAGTCTGTGAGCTTTCCTATGAGGGCTAACTGCAGTAACTGTGCTAACACTGTCCAACCAGATGTGTCGGTGAAGGTAGAAAAGATGAAATAACCATGATCATTGATGTGACCTATGACCTACAATTTTAGTGTCTTATCGTCTCTCAGTATGAGGAAAACTGTTTTCTGTTCCTGGTTCAGTCGGACAGCCCTTCTGTGCTGAGTTTGCATGTTCTCCCTGTGTCAGCGTGGGTTTTCTCCAGGTACTCCAGCTTCCTCCCACAGTCCAAAGACATGCAGGTTAATTGGTGACTCTAAATAGTCCGTAGGTGTGAATGTGAATGTGAATGGTTGTCTGTCTCTATGTGTCAGCCCTGTGATAGTCTGGTGACCTGTCCCAGGTGTGCACCGCCTCTCGACCAATGTCATCTGGGATAGGCTCCAGCCCCCCCGCGACCCTCAAGAGGAAAATGAATGAACACGGAAAATATTAAGCAACCTGCAAGTATTATTTTGTTGTACTATTCATTTCATGACATCTTCTTCACTGATCTTTCTATGGTCTTTGTCAACTTATCAATTATTTTTTCTTGATATCATCCTCATTCTCACATTGGCCATTCACTGTAATATGCTTGCTGTGTTTTTTCTTGGCCCAATAGAATCCCAATTCTCGGGGTGTCGGTAGAGTTGTGTACAGAGGCATTACCTCACTGCAGTGGCTGCGGTTCAAATCCGGCTCGCAGCCCTTTGCTGCATGTCAGTCCCCACTCTCTCTCTCTCTCTCTCTCTCTGTCTCCCCATTTCACCCTCTGTCCTGTCATTAAAGGCAAAAAACCCCACAAAAATAATCTTAAAAAAAAAAAAAAAAAGAATCCCAGTTCTCCAGGAATTCAAGGCAGAGTGCAGAAACTACTTCGATAACAGAACAAAATTAAATTAGGAAATTTTGTCACAAGATGGAACAGATATCCAAAGATTTATTTCCATAACTCAATTTTGACCAGAAATCTAGTTACTGCCTTTGTAGGGCAGAGTAAAGCCTTATTTATGTAGCACTTTTCAAAAATACAGTTACAGTATAAAGTGCTTCTCAATTCAATTCACTTCAATGAGCTTTGTTGTCATGACATTTCTTATGTGATGCCAAAGCACAATTACAATTTATGACAGCAGAAATTCAAGAACGATTAACCACAATGTATTTTTACAAATGCATAGACATAAAGGAGGAAAAGAACTATTAAGAGAAGGAGCAAATAAAAAGGCAGAGTGTGATCTCTGATGAGATGAACTATATGTTGTTGTGTTGGTTGTCTCTTAGGCGGTGACATATCTTGCTGCATCTATGGCGCTGACACTATTTTCTCCAAGCAGATGATGCATTTTAGTCTGGTCAGAGAGTGACCACACACACACACACACACACACACACACACACACACACGAAACATAAATGACTGAATAAATCTAGTAAAAATAAAACACAGCACAATGAGACAGACCAAATTAAAACAAACCAAAACATAGGACAGGGATGGAGCTCTGTGGAAAGGCTTGATTCAAATATGGGATTTGATTAGAGGCCTAAAGATTGCATAGAATTGATTTAAAAATTACAGCTGTAAAATATTCCTTTATGTTTCTCCACAGCCAAAATGGAGCAATAAATCAAAACGTAACCTAATGATAATGAAAAATGCAGCCAGATCACACTAAAGATGGTGATTACAGTAGCCTCTGAAAGTGTCCTTACCAAAGTTTAAAACAGCTAAAGATTCAGTGTGTCCATGACAGTGTAATAAACCAATATTAGACGGATCCTCAATTAACACAGAGTAAAATAAAATCTTTTAAGTCATGTTAAACAAAACTAGACTCAAACTAACATCAGATTTATCAGTATCATCACTGTGATTATTATGTCACAGTTTTAACATCTGATTTTAAATTCAGTTTTAGTCTTTGTCATTTTAGTCATGTGATTATTGTATAACAATCATGACTTGTTACAAGTGTTGATGTCAGAAGCTGAGGTCACATCAGCGTGCTTGATGCTGCTGCTGATGTCACAGGCGAACATCACTCCAGTGTATCATTGCCAGGCATGATGATGTCACTGTGACCTCAGCCTGTTTTGCTACCTCATTGGTCAAAAGTGACATAACCTTTCAAGGAAGAGCAAACACACACACACACATGCACCCTACAGCAAAACAAGGCCTCCTGTATGAGCAGTATAGAATGAGACCTCTTACACACACACTCACATACAACATACAGACACACACACTTGTGCCAATATGTAGAACCCACCATGCCTGTGGGTGTGTGCCAAGAGGTTTCTTGCATTCGGCGGGCCCTTGCTGACAGCCGAGGAAAGGCTCACCTGATGCCCAGCCACCTGCCATCTGTCTGCTGAACAATACCATTTTGCCTGCTTATACTACAGGGACCAGCACGAATACACCTGGCTGTCAAATATAAACACACACAGCAAAACACACCAATTCACAGGTGCCCGCTGCAAATAGCTGGTGGAAATATGTGCCTCTCTGGGTGGGTGATACTATCTTACTTGCAGCGCTCAGCCAAGGGACACGAGGAGGATTCAATACAGATGGCAACACGCAGACAGGCTGTTATAGGAATGTATCCCCACCAGTGTGAATGCACACAGACAGGGAATGCTATCCATTGATTAGAGAATAAGCAGCACTTTATAGACAATAGACTGACTTCTGCTACAGTGAGGGGCCAGTAACCATTTGAGCACCGGTCTGCTGAGCAATTCAGCTCATCTGCAATGCCTCTCAGCTGTAAATCTGTGCATAACTTGTTTTATTTTGTTGCTTTTCGCGCCAGATTTTTAAGTCTAATGTGTGATTATGATCACAACCTTAAATACAGATCACAGTGAAATATATTCCTCATGCATTTATGTCCAGAGAGCAGCTGTATGATGAGGTTATAGAGGACCAAAACACATTTATCACAAAGAAGCCCTCCCTGTTCACACTGTTTCCTTTAGGATCCCTCAGAAGATGAGGTTCGTCTCTTCTCTCCTATTCTGAGGCCAAGCCTGCACATGCACATTCTCGTTTTCTGAAATCTGATGATAGAAGAAGCAATCAGGAGAAGCTGATGACACGCGCTGCACTGAATTAATTACCCTATACGGCTCAACAAGGCGTCTTAACAAGCATGGGATTTTCAGTCTTTCAGTGATCTGAAAGGCATCAACTGCGCTGTGCATGTCTACGGAGCCTGGTTGGTTGGTTGGGGAGCAATAGCCACCCTGTGATGTTGGGGGGCGGGGAGATGGGCCGAATTTTTCCTTGCCTGGACTGGAGACACATTTGCACGGCAACGAGAGCGAAAACATTTGCACCAATGTTTTGTTAAAGTGCTGTAAACGCGGGGCGCACGGCACAGACGCGCGTAATATTTGTAAATGCACATTAGTAGGGGCGTAAATAAGCCCTGGAGGGCGGTCACTGTTGCTGCTAGAGACAGGTGTCTGTCTAAATACCGACATCGATTCTTTATAATCATTAAAACATTATAGTAAATAAATGTCCCAGTGTATTCCTCGTGTTTGCAGACGCGTCTTTAATGCGAGCTGTGATTGGTTTTATGTGAGAGGCTGCTGAGATTGACTTGATTGAGGTCCGAACTTGCCTCAGTAACAGACAATAGCTGCACAGTCCCGTTTCCTCTTATTTCTCCCCCACAGCATCTGCAGGCATCACACACACACGCACACACACACACTTACCGCGATGGGATGAAGCAGTATTCCAGAGAAAAGGCGAATCCATGAAAGAAAGAAAAGGAGGAGGAAAAAGGGACGAAAGGAAGCCGTGCGCACTCCCACTACTACTAGTACTACTACTCCATCGGCTCAGCGAAGCCGCCGCCGCCGCTCTCGGTTTGTGATGGGGATCACGCAGCGTGTGAGCGCGTGAGGATGGATGCTGTGGCTTGTCGGGAGGGGGCGGGGACAAGACGCGTACTCGGGTCCAGTGGAGCGTACTTAATTCTGTGTAGGGACCTTGTGTTACAAGTAAGTCTGCCGTCTAGTCCGCAGCTCCCCAGCCCGCCTGCCTGCCCTATAGACCTCCAGGTCCTATATCAACACTCCTGCACTGATCCCGGAGAGGGAGAGGAGGCATTGTGTGTGTGTTTCAGTCCTGCTTCATATTCATGGAGCTTCAGGCTGAGGACTTTGATGCTGAGGGACTGTAGGCAGGGGCGGACTGGAGACAGAAAGCAGCTAGGGACTTTGGTGTCAGGGGGCCCCACTTTGACGCAACAAATTCAAACTTAAACAACATGTTTGTCCATCAGTGACTTTATTTTTTTTAAAAAAATAAATAAATTTAGAAAATCTAATCATTTATGTCAAACAATGAAACTAATATTTGAAGGTTTTTCTCATTATTTTTGTGCGTATTGAAAGCGAAAAATTCAAAATGGAATAAATGCCACAATCACCTGACACTTAATTTGACTTAATAGCCTGTTTTTCAGAAATGATTAAAATATTGCAAAACACTCAACAGTGTTTAAGTTAAAACCAGCAGACTCTATCCACAGGAGCACAGTATATTTACACTAAATAAATTAAAAAACAAACAAAACAAAAAAAACACAATGTAAAGCCCAGTTCGGACCAAAGACTCGCAATAAGACAAGTTGAAACAGGAAACTACTTGCAATCCGTCGTTCTGCAACATTCTAAAAACCTGCCGGTTCACGCCAATGCAACTAGATGAGATGGTGTTTCATCGCTATGCAACAACTCTCTGTACTTTTGTTCTGATTTGCAGCTTTTCAGGCTTGTTTTGTGGCTGAATATAATTTGTAGTGTCTTGAATATGAATGAGGATATTGACAGTGAGATACTGGCTACAGGTGCATTTGTAGTAGTGATGAAACAGCCAAAAACATAAACAAAACCAGCATCAGATGGACTGTATTCATAATCAATACACCACAATAATACAAATAAGCAGCGCCATTGAATCCGTCAATAAGAATGTATTTGTGTGTGGGGGACAGTGACCCACCGTCCGACACCGGCACATCACAAGGACGGAGCGCCTGCCCCAGCAAGCAAACACACCCTCTGCAGTCATTTTGACTTGACCAGCGGACTTCACAAGCTGATTGGCTGTTAAAACAGGCGACGTGCTTTACCTTCTAAAACCAGCTGCCGGCGATTTGACCAGCTGTGTTGCAGGTGACACCATCAGCCGGCTTGAGTCGAGCTCAAACGGCCAGTTCACGTGGCTGCAACTTTTCTTTGCAAGATTCTAAAAATAAGTCTGGTCAAGCCAGCCATCACTCAAGTCAAATCAGCGAATGTTGCAATTGTACTGCACGCATGTACTGACAGTTATGGTAAATGCATACACAATATGTTTTCACAATATGTTGAAAAAAGATATATAATACCCGAACTGGTGCCTTTAAGTAGCCAAGATTTGGTATTTCTGAATGGAGCATGAAAAGTCCCAATAAATACAGAAAATGCATATTTACATTTTACATTTTTAGATTTGTTCAACAGTAATAAAATGTACACACTTGACCCCCAAAGGGATAAGTATATGTATAAGAGGATATATGCTATGATCACATGACCATTCTTCAGATACCAAATCGAGCTACAAACTAAGATTAATTTTAGTAATTTTTCCCCAGACTCTGGTGTCACACACACACAAGGATTTTAGGTTTATTGCCAGTAAAACTATTCCAGCTGTCATCTCTGTTTCCCCCTCGACACCACTGAGTTGTTGCTCTACCTTGTTGCATAACATATCTTGTCTCAAAGTCTAAATCTGCAGTCCCACCTCTGTGACCTGGCTAGTCGTAGCATTAGCACAGTGAGCGCTCCGCTGCCAAAAGTGGGACGGACACATTGAAGTGAAACCAGGGTGCCCATCTCTGCTACAAGAAATTACTGAAGAAACACTGGTGTGCTCAGTGATCTAGATTCAGGGAGCACGCTACATTACACTCTGCACTCAGGCTCCCCCTCTTCCAGTCCTCTGCTTTTTCAGCCCAGTTCCTCCACTCCTCCTCCCCTCGTCTGTCATCTGTGGCCTTCAGTCACATTAATCAAACTGAGCAGAAAAACTGATGTTACTGTAAAATCAAGAACTGTGCAGTCAGCACAAGTTATATTTAACTGGAGTTCTGAAGTGGTTTTAAGTTGTGGTGGATACATTTGGGGTGTTGTACTGGATCTTAACGGGGGCAGTGGTAGCCTCGAGGGAGACAATCAGGCTCAGGACTGGAGGGTTGAGGGTTATGAATTCCCAGATTATCTGGAAGAGTTGGCAGGGAACAGCAAACTCTTATCTAAATAACTGCCAGGGTGCTCTTGAGCAGGGCATTTTACCTCTAATATCTCAGGGCTCAGGCTATAGTTGCTGACAGCAGAAGACTGTGGATGTATCGATCAGTGCTGAGGTATACGTTTGGATGTACGAGATGATGTTAGACCAGAGGAAACATCGACTTCTGATAAACTTTGGCCTGTAAAAAGTCTGACATGCTTAATTTTTTTTTTGTGCCTCTGCGCCAGCAACAGTTCAGTTGTCTGTCCATCATCCAGTTCTCAAGAATGCCTTAAGGGTTTGTTTTTTCTTTCCCTTTCTGGCACAATTTGGCACAAACATCTTCTTGGACATAAGGATGAACTGATAAGAATTTGGTGTTCAAAGGCCATTGTGACATTTCTGGCCAGGGGTCAGCAACCTTTGCTATCAAAAAAGCCAAAGAAAAATTCTGTCTGGAGCCATAAAAAATGTTTGAGCCTTACGTGGTAACCCAGCCTACAATGTCCAAAGTAACCTACCAACATTAAGGGTGCTTTCAGACCTAGAGCTGTCTTGCTTTGGTCTGAATCAGGGACTAATTTTGTCAAAACGTTGTATAATTGCCTAGAGTTGGTTCGTGTTCTCACGGCAGCATTTACAAGCGGATCAGATAAAATGCCTTGCGTGAGAAAGCTGCTCTTGATTGGTCAGAATTTCCATGTGGGAAAAATCCAGGAAGTAAACAAGACGAAGAAGAGTACACTTGCAAGATAAATGTGACACTTTCTAATGTCACAATGGAGGGACATCTATTCAGTTTGATTTTAGCGCTGCTCATTGTGGACTATATTGCTGTCATTGTTCATTTTAGTCAAACCATACAGTTTGAAAACGAGGCGCGGCTCCAACTAGAAAACAATGTTTTGATGCATTGGATGTGCTGAATGTGCATATTAAGGCAGTACAGGAGGAGGTGCACATTAATAATCCTCCAGGACTGTAACATGCTCATGTTTAACCCAAACAACGTGTCATGTGACTGCAGTTGGTTTGGATCGAGTTCGGAACACGTTCTCACCACAAATGAACCGCACCAGAGTTCATTTATAGCCGGACCAAGACCACCTCTTCAAGAAGGTCTTTGGAAATCAAACACTCTCATATCATAAAATGATGCAGGGGTGACATTTGTTATCTAAAAAGTCAAAGGTCAACTTCACTGTGGCATCATTATCTTCAGCAAAAAACACTTTTCTAGTCATCATTAAATGTCATAACTCAGGAACAGGAGGGGAGACATTTGATCAGATATTGAATAGGTGACACTTATCTTGGGTGTCCACCTCGAAACTGTGCTGATTGTAAATGTCTTCTGTGCTGCTGGGGAAAGATGTGAGTGAAGCATCCACATTCTAGAATGTGTAGCCTCTTTGCAGCAACATCCATATCCGAAGCATTGTCTGCTGTCATGGCAACATATGAGTCTGGACAGACATGGATGTAAACTGCACCTTGACAGGTTAGCAGAGGCCAGAGGCATACAACCATGAGGTGGTAATTTTAGCTTTAGTTAAAGTTTATGTAATGGGTCCAGTAGGGCCCAGAGGACTGCCAGATCTCATCAGGATAGACCTGAGGATAATTGGCCCAAAATGTGGTCTACCTGAACAGAACCCAATAGAGGGTGAACACTAACACTGGCAGCAGCAGGAAATGTATTCAGACCTTTACTTGAGTAAAAGTAGCAATACTATAGTGTAAAATCACTTCAGTATGACAAGCATTTTAGTCTTACTTAACAGCAAAAAAAAAAGGAGCTCGTACATCCGCAGGGAGCTTGGAGTAGAGCTGCTGCTCCTTAGCGTCGAAAGAGGTCAGTTGAGGTGGTTCAGGCATCTGACTAGGATGCCTCCATGGCACCTCCCATTGGAGGTGTTCCATGCACTTCCCACTAGTAGGAGGCCCCAGGGTAGAGCCATAATACGCTGGGGGGATTTCATATCTCATCTTGCCTGGGAACGCTTCAGGGTCCCCCAGGAGGAGGTGGAAAGCGTTGCTGGGGAGAGGGACATCTGGAGTGCTTTGCTCTGCCTGCTGCCCCTGCGACCCGACTTCAGATAAGCGGTTGAAAATGGATGGATGGGTGGATATGTAGTGGAGGGTATAAGCAGGTTTATGGTACAGTATACCCACCTGTCAGACAAAAAAGAACATTGGAATATGTAGTAGAGAATACCCACTTCCTCCTCTGTAACCTACCCATCTACCTAGAAGCACACCCATCTCATCAACCACCACTACACCCCCGGCAACAACCTCACAATCAAACTTAAGTACAGTACCTGACGAAATGCACTTGGTCGATTTTCACCACTGACTATCAGCAGCATGATGTACCACCAATAAACGACCATCCGCGGTTGAAAAATTCGCCCTGCATGTAATTTATCTTTCATAACACAGTTCAAAGTTCCCGTCTCACTTCAAAAAAACAAATGTTGTCCTGTGGTGATTATGACGCATCATGCAGTCAGAGCTGGTATTAGATGTTTTGATGCACAGACCCGAGCCCTGCGGCAATACAATGTGATCATTACCTAACCCGATGAGACTGGGCTGATGGACCTGTGGAGACCTGATGGCAACATTAGTGAAATGTGATCTAATGGATAATTATTATGTTTAAAGAGTCTATTCATTTCAGGTTTCAGCATGTATTGTTGTTATTATTGCTACATATGTTTGTTTTTGCATCTTTTCTGGAATACTCTGCCTTTTTCTAAAACACTGTGGGCGCACA